ATACCCAATACATCCTTAAATTTCTTAAAAATTAAATAAATCTTGTTCATTTAAATATTCCTGTAATAACAGTGATGTAATTAATTTCGAGCGTCACGTCGGAATTGAAAAGGCTGCCAAGAACAGATTGAATAGCATGTGTTGATCAAACAGTGATTAAATTAATATGTCCACGAGCTGGTCGTTCAAGCTACATTTTAATAATCAAACAGCCACGGGAAAAATTTGAATTTCAATTTTGACGAACCAACGCCAGCTTTTCCACTGGTGTTTGTTCAGGTTCTAATACCTCGCATTCGTATTCAAATGGTTTCGTTGAATCGAGCCTATGGATTACGTTTTTCTTCTTTGTAAATACAGTTTATTGCCATTTTTATACGACCGCACGTGTCGCCGCCGATTGCACAGGCTAATAAAGAAAATGTTAATCGATGATTGCTCTCGATGCTCATCTCAGTCTTCTTTATATTCTTTTCATTTTATGACCTATGTGGCTAAGATTGGCTGTGAGTAACGCTAAGAGCGGTATCAGTTTACTTACCAATCAAAAATATATTTCTCGTATTTATATGCACATTTGTTATTGAAGTGCTTAGCGCTGAATCTACAGATATGAACATAAATTATGTGAACATTATTTGTCCATTCGTGTCTATGTGTGCATTCTTGTAATTAGGCAAAATGAAATTCAAATTTGCACTTACGAATAAAAATCCACTTTGTTTCCAATAGCTTCTATCATTTTGCATATTGAAAATTCAACACATTCATTTTTTGTAAATGCATAAAAATTCGCTTGTAACGACGAGTGTAACTTAATTCTTATGTATCTGGTCAACTGTTACCATTAACAGAAGTTTATCAATTGAATATAATTAAAAAGCTCGTAATTGAAGAATTGAGTTTTGCCAGTGAAAAGGTGAAAGGAAAAGAGAGGAGTGAAACGCGTGTTACGCAAACGTGAAGAGGAGAAAAAAGATTGTAGAAAAAGAAACGAGCTCACCCGATGGTCCTTGGAATAATTTATAAACGAACGATTCAATAAGCTTCTATTGCTTTGAACACCACTACTACTGGTGAACTGCTTCCCGGCGACGATTAGTTAACTTATTCATACGTTTTTCCTGTCTACGTCACGGAACGGTTTTACAGTTGGTAATAATACTTAATAACAGTTAACAAAAACTTTTAACGATACCTAGCTTTCAACTTTACATTTGCATCAAGTACTACAGTACTTTTTTTTATTTCATGCACATGAAACTATCCTATTTCCCTGTAAATGCAAAAATTTCAATTCTAATATACAGAATCCTTAATAAATAGAATTAATTAAATCCTTAAGGAGTTACAACGGCTCGACTTCCGGTTTGGATCCACCAAGATTTTAATTAAACATATAAATGTTATAATAATATTTCGTTCTGTGAGAGTTGCATAAATCTAATCATTGGATTTCTTGTTTGATTCCAGATGCCGACCTGAGCATGGGCGCAGGGGCTGCTGGCGGCTCGGTCCTCGGATTGCAAAGCTCAGGCGTGGGTGGCGTTCTTTCTCAGCACTGCGCGATCTGCGGGGACCGAGCCACTGGTAAACACTACGGTGCCGCTTCCTGCGATGGCTGCAAGGGTTTCTTCCGGCGGTCCGTACGGAAGAATCACTTATACACCTGCAGGTGAATGTTACATCCTATAAATTCCTGTATTTATGCCTGGTCTCGGTTTGTTTTAGGTGTATACTGTATGATACGAAATGGGTGATGTACATGTGTAAAAGATGTGATCGATTGATTTATATATCAATGATTAACTGGATCAGATCAGCACTAATCTTAGAAACATGAGAATTCCTTTTAATAAACTAAGAAAGAGTTCCTTAGAATTTCGTATCCTGATTTAATGGATTTTCGATATCAAAGAATTATAAAATGACTTGATTAATGATTTGTTTACTATTTACTATGT